TCCCTATGAAATAAACAAATTAAGGAAGATAACATTTTTCTTTTCATTTTTTTTTTTTTTTTTGCAGTTGAGTGTTAATTTAGTTTGCCAAAAATTTATAATTCACAGTGCATTTTTTATCGCAAGGCAAATAATTTATTCTCCTATCAATTGTTTAAACCTCTTTTTCTAATGACATTTTCATTCAACCAAAATAAATATTAAAACCGTATATTTAATAAAAAGACTAGGCTCAATATAATAAAACCTCCAATATAGTACATAAAATAGTTAGATCATCGTTTCGATTGAAAAATGGGCAGGATTACTATTGATTGGTTAAGAGGGACCGTTAGAGAGAGAGTGTGTGTGAGAAGGTCATTGGAGAGCATTGGTTGGCCAGAGCTTCGGCACTGCCTTCGGGCATTTCGCTGGATTCCTGGTCATGAATTTTGGTCTCATGACTCTTTTCGTCGTGGACTTCTCGTTAGTGGTGATGGTGTGCGATGTGGTTGCTCCGTTTAGACAGATCTGAACCGGTTTAGAGTTTAGAAGCCGAATGGATGATCTCCCTTTCTCAAGGGTGTTTTTCGCTTGGTGGCTGAGATCTCTTCGTTGGCTGTCTTTCTCGATGGTCCTTTGGCCGAACGCCCTTCACCGGAGGTTTCTACCGGCAGTGGTCGGAAGTTTTTATCTTTTTGTAACTTTTGTGTTTGTAATAAGGTTGGTGGTTTTCTCATTCAACCATCATCTGGTTTGTTATTTTTTGTTAGATTTAAGTGTTCGGCTTAATGCCGATAGGGTGGTCTTAGTCTAATTATAATTTTTTCTATGTTGTGCAGATGTCCCTTTTCTGTGGGTTTTGACGACCTGACCCTCCAACTTTTGATAGCTTATGTTGAAGTGAAGGGTTTTCTCCGTTCAAGTTTTCAGTCCGTTCATTATTAGTGTGTCGAGGTACTTTTCTGGTTTCGGACCTCAATCGTGTATTTATCTTTCTGATGGATTAATATTGTACCAAGACGATTATTTATTAATATTTTAATGAATGTAATTTTTCCTTTCAAAAAAAAAAAAGGGGAGGAACTTATCATGTACCTTTGCATAATATATGGTGTCCACGTAACATTGCAAAGAGGGAGGAGAGACAGGATAAATTAAGCTCGAGGAAAAATAAATGTGACGCTTTTAAAATGATCTTTGTTTCCTTTGTAGATTCTTTTGTCTAATATGACAGAAAATCTATTGTTGGTGTTAAATTTTTATCCGTTTGAAAGTTCTCAAATATAAAATTTTAAAAGCTACATATATGATAATAAATTATACATAAGCACACAAACATCGGAAAAAAATAAAATCATTTAAGTAACTTATATTATATAGAAACATCTCAAAAATACTCATGTGTTTTTGATAGTACAAAATAGTTACCGTCAAGTTTTAAAATGTAGCTTAGTTTTATAAAACATTTTGAAATTATTTCAAAATATTAAGTATTATTGTTAAAAATATTTTAAAATGTTTTGTAAAATTTAATTCTAAGTAAAATTTTAGTTTTTAATTATTTAATTAGAAAGGTAATATGGTCATTTTATATCTTAAAAAACGATTTAAGGGTATCTAGAAAAAAAAAATTTCAAAACTTGAAGAAATCTATTCAATATTATGAAAAATATATAACACCTTTAAAATGTTTTGATATAATAGAGGGTGTCAAGATGTTTTTATCTAAAAGCAAAATACAAACCCCATCTAGATCGAGATTTATATGGAGAAAACTAATCATCAGTTCAGTTGATTGGAAATTAAGTAGAAATATGAAGATTGAAACAATGAACATATAGACAAAGAGAAAACGAAAAAAAAAAAAAATCCAAAATCTCCCTCTTTGGTGGAAAATGTAAGACTTTGAGATTAAAGAGGAAAACGAAAAAGAAAAAAGAGATAAAGCAGGGTCCAAATCCAACTACCAAAGTTTTTTTTTATTTTTTTTTATTTTTTTTATATATATATTTTTACCATACAAAATAATGCTTTAAAAAAAGTAATCCCTTTTATTTCTTACCCTGACACCTTCTTTTGTATAAAAGTTTTGTTACATAAAATTTTAATAACCCTAAATGAAATATCATATTCTTTTTTTCTTGTAAGATAAGTATCTAGCTTTTTGTCGAAAATATATAATGTTATGCAAGGGTGAATTATCTTAAGATCGTTAAACTTCTCTTTTCTCTTTGAAGGCATTTGCATGGCAACAAGATGAGGCGGGATGACGATGAGAATTTTCCATCCCCGCCCTCAACCGACAAAACCATATCCTCATCTCTAAGGATTGGGGTGTGATTCGGAATTTTCTATTGGAGAACCTTTTCCATATCCGCCCCATTTAACAGCTACTATAACTATACATTTTAAATTATAACAATTTAAAACAACAACAAAGTATAAATTCATTATAAACGTAACTCAAAATCAAAGTCAAAGGTTCGGCAAAATAACCCAAATTCTAAGCATATACAAATCAAATTTTAGTAGTAAAATCACAAAAGGACTAGTTATGTTTGAAAAAGTTAATATTATACATGTTTATTTATATAAAACAAACAATATATATATATATATACATTTCAGGGTGGAGGAGAGGTGAGGAGTGCTTCACTCATCTCTGTCCTGCCACAACTCCAGAACAAGATTTTGTTCTGTCCCTTTCGCAGTAGATTCTCACAGGGAATACTACCATCTCTAATAGTTGATATATTAGTAAGTTTTGTGTGTTATGTGTTCTATTGAAAAATTGGTAGCAAATAAGGTGAATCCCACATTGGCAAAGAGTGAGGTACATTTTTGGTATTTAAGTACTCATAAAGTCCCTCATAGTCAATAATTTTTTAGATAGAGTCACTTAGTAGGATTCACTTATTTACTCCAATGTTACTTTCTCTTGAAGGTCCTCGTGGCTAATTTGCCCATAATATTTGTGTATTTGTACAATTATGTGTAAAAGAAAAAAAAAAAACACTCTTTCTTCTCTCTCATCGCAACTAACTTATTTTTTTCTCTCTCCATGTTTATTTACTTTTGAGTAAAATTGTGATTATTTGTGATAATATTTCGTTATAATGTATGAGATATAAATGGAGGAAAAACTACTTTGGTGTTGCAATGAATTGGGTGACGGACAGGGTACGCGAAATGTATTTAGATTTAAGATGGAAAAATTTTTAAAATACCCTTTAAAATGGAGCTCTATTTTATTTCTACTCCTTAACATTCTCATATATTTTTTCTTTTTCGACTATAATTTATCAATAATTAGAGTTTTTTTAAAAAGAATATTTTTAATATGTAAGATATTAACGAGATAAAATATGTCAATTACTGATTTTGACATTTTCTTTTCTATTTTCTATAGTGTGTGAGGTCTTCAATTACTCAATTTTTATTACTGATTTTGTAAAAAAAAAAAAAAAAAAAAGATTATTTTTGATAATCATTAGAATGGAGAGAAGTCACTTCTCACGTTTTCTTTTCTTTTCATGAGAAGTAAATACGTCCTAGGTGTCGATCTCATCCGCATTCGCATATAATTAATCGATAGTTTGTTGTTGCACATTTAAACAAAAATATCATGAACATTTTCCGCCATGAAAAACAAGGTTTCGGCAAAAACATATACCAGGAGAGGAAGTAAAGAATCTAAAGTTGGAAATCCAGTGGCTAAAGAAGGGAAGCTAGCTAGCCTACAGTTACCTGCAATTATTAAGGACGGTTTATTTTGTGTATTTAAATTTATAGTTTAATTCTATTACAACATTTTTTTTTATAAAAAATTTAAAATTTAAATGTTAAAATTAAGAATTATTAATTTAAATTTATGAATAAAACGGTCTCTAAGTATATATTATTGTGTGAATAGAAGAATCAATTAATAAGAAAATGGCATTTCAAATCCATTTGTCTCGTCATATATTTTCAAAACGTGGATAAATAAGGAATGGCGTAAATAATGCAATTACATCTTTTTTTATTATTTATTTATTTATTTTTATTTTTTGCAATTAGTTGAGACACCACGTATTCCTTTATCTCCTTTTCTCATTGTCCATTATATCGATGTTGTCAATGCATAAGCTGGGCAACAACCAAGGAAAATTACTTTCTAGCAAAGAAAATTGAAGGACCATTCTAGGAAATTTCACATTCAAATTGGTAAATTACACGCTAAGCATAATCTTTACTCGTTAAGTAAAGGAAAAATACTTGTAAATCCCATCACCTAATTCCTCAATTATTGGAAAATCCAAAAAGGACGTGTTGGTTTGGTAGCGGTTGTAGTACTAATATCAGAGTTATTATCGAGAAAAATATTTAAGACAAAATTCTAATTATTTGTTTTTTTTTTTTTAATTTTTTTTTCTTTTCAGTGCTGTGGCCACCATGGCCCTTCCAATAAGGTTTCAAACAAATGCGCAATCAATTGCCCATAACTTTCCAAACTTTTATCTTCTAACCCCATTTCCTTTTTTTTGGAGAAAAGTCCACGTCACATCCCCCGTCAAATCCACCTTTAAAAATCAATTAATCAATTAAAGGAAATCAAACTCAATTTACCAAAACGCCCTTACACCCACCAAAGAATCTCTTTTTTTCCCAACAAACAAACACACCCTTTAGCCGAGCCGAGCCAAAAGAGAAGAGAATGTGCCAAGTGAAAAAGGGCAAGGCCGTGATTGACTAGGCTGAGTGGGCCCCGCGACTGACCGGACTTGAAGGATTGATTCAATCTAATTAATAAAATATAAACGAAAAAGCAGACAGGAAAAAGAAGTAAACCACCAAAAAAAAAAGATAAAGAAAAAGAAAAGGCAAGACGTCCGTGATGGCCCAAGTATTCGATCCTCAAACCACGCGCCTGCGTCACCATCATTACTCACATTCTCTCCCTCTCTCTCTTTCCTTTGTCCCCTTTATATAAACCTTCTCAAACCGCTTTGTCCACAACACCGTAGACCAAACCGTATTTTAACAACTCTCTCTCTCTCTCTCTCTCTATCTCTCCTCTGTCCCCGCTCTCTCTCTCTCTCTCCTGTGAATTTATTTTCGTTTTGTCTTTCAATTTTATGGAGGCCCAAACTCTAAAGAAGCGGGTCCGAGATGACTCGGCCGACTCGGACCTCGACTCGCTCGAGGTGAAGCGACTCAGGGAGAATCTACTTGAGTTCCTCGACGACTCGGACCCTGACCCGTCCACTCAGGACCTCGCCTCGGTCATGAAGAGCTTGCAGGAGGAGATATCCGCCGCCTCTTGTTCCACAACTCCTATTCCATCATCGCTGGCGGGTAAAATTCCGGCGTCGGTGACGGTGATTGATCTGACCTCAGATTCCGGCGAGTCTCAGCCGGAGCTTGGGTATTTGTTTGGAGCTTCCGATGACGAACTCGGTCTGCCGCCGTCTAACTCGGGCGAGTTAAAGGAGGAGACTGAGTTGGTACGAGTTTCATCCGATTCTTCTGGAATCGATGAGTTTTGGGGTTTCGAAGATCCGGTTCCTAGCTACGGTTCGTTCGAGTTGGGCACCGGAGAGAGTTACAACGACGGTAACGGGTTCGTGGCTTTTGACGGGCTGTTCGGATATTCCGATGTGTATTTTGATTCGTCCGATTTCTCCGATTTGTCATGGCGGTCGGGAACTCTGCCGGCGCAATAGCACGGGACAAAGGATATAAATGTTTTTGAGCGGATGATTTATAAAACGACGCCGATTTGTATAAATATTTTATTACTTTTTTTTTTTTTTTTTTTTTTAATACAGAGAGAAAGGGAAAGGAAAACAGCATATGTAGGATTAGACTGATATTAAGATGAAAAAAGATGCCTTTAACTCGTGAGAAGTTGGTTCGTTCTTTGTTATCATCGCAAGCTAAAGTACGTAAATTAATTAAGAGTTGTGAAACTATAATCTTTTGACTAAAATTGTCTCTATTTTACACTGATCTCAACAAATCTTTGCTCCTGCAAAGAGGGGAACGAATGAATCAATTAAAAATACCTCCACTAATACGTTAACGTTAATACACTATTACGTAAAAATTAGATTTAATAATTAAAAAATTGATTTACTATACACCAATTATATTAGAAAATCTCTCTTAAACAAATTATTCCGAGCTCTTTAGAGAGAGAAAAAAAATAATTCTCATTAATTATCATAAACTTTATTTTGATTAGCTACCTAATATGTGACTAAAAACAACGATGCTCATCCGCGGGTTATGAATTTTATCAACGTCCAAATCTTTGAAAAATTAACCTGATTCTTGAAAGCAAGACACCTGTTTTTCCTTCAAAAGAAAACGCTGCACCTTTTCATTTCTACATTGAACTACCCGCTTGACACTTTATTGTAGAAACTGATCACAAACGGTTGTTTGAAGTTCATTTTGCAAATTATTTAAAAAAAAAAAAAAAAAATTATTCTATCAATTAAGTGTGTATTTATTCTGTTCGCAACTGATATTATTACAGTTTTCAGAAAAAAAAAAAATCTAATACTGCTAGAGTTAAATCCTATTTTTTTCCCTCAATTTTGAGTCCTCATCTTTTTTACCAACTCTAATCCTTTCCAAGAAGACGAGTCCAATATGAACTGTATGATTTGGAGTTTGTGTTTCGGATATCAACCTTTCTAAGAAGACAAATCTTACACATATAAAAGGATTGAGAATTTTTTTATGAATAATACTAAAGACACTAATTTTAATCTCAATTTTTTTTTTATATAAATTTACGTAAAATGTGAATGTCATCATTTTGTTAATAGTTATTTAAAAGATTGTCACGTCAATTAAAATAAATTATCAGTATTTTTTTATTTTTCAGCCGTCAAATTTATATTAAAATCTGTATGTTTTTTTATACTTTTTTAATCTGATATAATTTTAATTAGATATAATAATTAAAAATAAGGTCACTAGTATGACATTATTGGAGAAATTTTTACTGATAAAAAGATAACAATTTTATGCCACATAGTACATACAAAATTATTGAAATTAGAATTATTGTCCCTACCATTACTCACTTTTTTTGTGGTTGCCATCGTCTCTAAAAAGGAAAAATCTATATAAAATATATGAGATTTGTGTTTTGCACACCAATTTGTCTAAGAAAACGAATCCTATATATACCAAAAGATATTGGATTTGTGATTGACGTTCTCTAAGTTAGCAAATCCTGTAAGGTCTGGATATGACTGCATCATTTGAAAATGCTGTGATTCCATTAAAACTTTGGGTTTTTTTTTTTTCTTCGTATAAGTCGAAAGAGATTGTAAACTAAGAATTTAAAAATGTCTTCTATACGCATTTTTGTCTGAGGTTTGTGTTAAAATTTTGTCACAAAAGGGAAAAAAAAAGCTATTATAGGAGATTTCTTGTGGATTTTTGTTTTTTTTGTTTGCTCGTTAGTTTTTTTTTGTGTGTTAATGGAAAGCTCATTTGAAGTTTACTAAAAAAACAACAAACTGTCCCAAAATAGCTACGTGGTAGAATTCTATTGGGAAATCTTCAAAGGAGCAGAGAAATATACAGGCAATATTGATAATAAACTAATAAGTGATATTAAAAAACTTTAAACTTATCATTTTGGCTTTAAAATATCCAAACTACCCTCAAAATAGCTTGTGTGTGTGTATTTATTTATTTTTTATTTTCTCTCTAAATTTCTAAGTTTGACCTTTTTTTTTCAAGGATACTTTGATTATTTTAAAAGTGAAAATCAATTGTTAAGTAAGATAAGGTGTAGATTTGTATTAATTTAAAAGTATACATTTAATGAGATTAAAACTCAAGTATAGTTTTTAAATAAACTTAAAATACAAGGTGCAAAAAGAAAAAATATTCCGATTAATAATTCTCTTCAAAAGTGCTATATTCAACTAAAGAAAAAGAAAGCAAGACTCATTGCACTTGGAAAAAGCCCAGTTCCTCCGCATGGACAAAGCCCACTGATTTCAAGGCCCGTCGGGACCATCTAAAATTCAGAGGCCCAAAAAGATAAGGTGTTTGGCTATTAGAAAATTATAGTAAATAGCAGATTTATAAAAGTAAATTAAGTAAATAGTTAATTTTAAAACTATTTGAATTAAATAGTATCTTACTGTGTAAATATTTCTTTTATAATTAGTAAAAAATAATTTACATAATAAAAAATCTTTATTTATGTTGAAAAAAATATATCTTTTTACCGGCCACAAAAAGAAAATGTAAGTAAAAAAACATCTTTTTATTAGTTGTAAATCTTTTTATTAACTGTATATGAAACATTTACACAGTAAATTACTATTTACTTTAAATGATTTTAAAATATGCTATTTACTTAATTAAGTTTTATAAATATATTATTTACTAGATTCTCTCACTAAAAAGTAAGATTAATAACATAAATGCCAAAATATTAGTATAATCTTTAAAAATTATGTTCAGGGTCAATACTTTACAGCGTTGTTTTAAGATCTCTAATCAATTAATGTGTTGTGCGGTGTTAGGTATGTAGTTGTATGAGTGAAAACTGAATCCATAATTCGAGTATAATTAAGTTAGATCTTTTTACATTCCATTAAGTCAGATCTTTTTATATTCCATTGGCTAGCTTTGAGATTTTCAATGTGACGAAATACATGCTGGGGCAACATGACACCAATAAACTCCTTTAAAAACTATTTACAATTTTATTGCATAACAAAACTATCAGAAATCTATTATAATGATTCTACTGCCCCTAATTTTAGTCCTCTAAAGATTGTAATTTTATGATAATAAGATAAGCTTAGAAATCACAAAGGTTGACAATGGTTACATATAACATGTAAACATATGGTTATCATCATCATAATTAAAAAAATGGAACAACAAAACCTCTATAATAATTAAATAATTAATAAACGAGAGCGTAAAAATTTGGAACTTGGTATAATGAAATAAGATCGGTTATAAATTTACAAAGGTCGAATGTTTGTACATAACACACAACTATGGCATTATCATAAAGATTGCAACTTTATAATAATGGTAATATGAAACTATACAAAAAGGGACAAATGGGTGTTACAAAGAATTGTTTTCTAAAAATAGATGAGTCCCAATATTATGAAAAGGTAAATATTGTTATTTAAATTGGGTTTTTAAAATGGACATTTTATGTAATTATATCAGCAGGTATGTGAGTTTCACTACCAAGTCCAAACTCCGGAGTCCGGTGATGTCCAAAAGGCCCAACAACATGAATAGGCTTAGAAAATTCAGATATGAGAAAATTGCTGTGAACCTACTTTTAGGAGATATTTACGTTGCCTAATATAAAAAATATTGGAGGTTTGACTTATGCCAGTGAGGCAAAAACTCTCAGTTTTCTGTGATGTACAATTATGACTTTTTATTTTCTTTTTATTAATTAAATGACATCAAAGTGGTACTATTTAAAGGAATATTTAGCTCATTTTTATTCGGGAAATGGAGACAAATATTACTTAATAATGTATAGGTTAAGATTTTTATCCCTTACTCTTAATTAATAATTAAATAACTATACTAATAAAAGAATATTACTAAAAAATAAAGGATAAAAATTCAAACTTAAGAGTACTAAAAAATAAAGGATAAAAATTCAAACTAATGTACTCTTAAGAATAAATTCTCAATTTTCTCTTTTATCCTCTCCTCTTTCGATAGTCCCAATTGTGACTAAACTAGGCATAGTCATCTAGCAGGTCTTTAGGAGAAAACAAAGTTAACTTCCCGATTACCACGACCCAGAAACATCTGCCAGGCCAGTGAGCTTCAAGAAGGCTTATCGATTCAGTAACTCCACCGCAAAATTGTCAGTGCACACATAGGTAAAACTACTGGATTTATCACAATAAGGATTCACCAGGCAAGAGATTTTCTTACCTTCACAAACGCGATTAGTTCTTCTCAATACTTGGATAATAGTATCCAATGGATAATTATACCAATCAAATTCAAACTCAAAGATTAAAAAGTGCCTTAACTTGATTTCTTTCGGATACTAAAGTAATCTAGTTACAGATACTAAATATAGTCAAAACTCCCAAACTAAATTACAACTTCTAAATTCTAAGTTTTGAAGTCTTGTTCCATTCTGCATAAACTCTAATTATCCAAACAGCAAAGCTTAAAGTTTTTTCAACTACATAAGACTTGATTCAACAAATGGATATGTAAACAACGTAGAAAATTGTCATAAATAGGCAAAATTAAAATTTCAAATTCCCAGACATTACAAAAAAGAAAAATCCAATTCAAAAAATTCCTTTAGATTTCATATATATGCTGGAGTTGAGACGCGACAAAATGGATTTCTAAATTTTTTAAGGATCTTTGCTCCTTATGATGTCACATATTATAGTTTCAATGAAAACCTACCAAATTGGCAAATTTCTTTGGATGATCTAACATTAAAATTTTTTTGATGATCTTCTACGTTATTCTCATTCTCTATGAATCCCATGGTTTGTGGTCACCTTGATTCTCTTTTGGCTTTCTCTAATCCTTCTATTGCCTTCCAACTCTTCTTTGGCTATGTATGAACTTCTTAAGCTAAAATTGGCAACTCCAATCATGCTAGTCATTTCATTTTTTTAGTCAAAATAACTAATGATTTAGCTTCTTTTCTTTTTTTTTTTTTGACTTTTTTTCACTCCCACCATTACCTAAATAGTTAGTTATTTTAGAGAATGCATTTCACACTAGCTAAATATAGCTAGCACGGAGAGACTGACCATTTAATTTTTTGTATTATCTTTTATTCTTCACTGTAATAAATGCGAAGGTTCTTTTTTAAATTTAAAATTTTTTATATGTTAAATTCAATA